TCTTGAAAAATCATGGGGCAGATAGGTCACATGAATAATTTGGTGTCCAATTTGAAAAAATTAAATTTATAGGGGGATTTTATTGGTTAATAGGATCACATAGGTTTCAAGTGTACATTACTACGATAAATACACAATTGACATTGTGTGCCCACCACCCAAAGTCAAATCTTCTTTTGCTACCATGTATTTGGCCCCTTTTACCCCTTACTACCCTCCTACTTCCCCTTTCCTTGGTAACCACCAAACTATTTCACTTTTATATCCCACATATGTGTGAAATCATACAGTTGTTAGCTTTTTCTGACATACTTCACTGTAGCATAATATTCTAAAGGCCCATCTGTATTATCACAGATGGCAGTATTTCATCTTTTCTTATGGCTGAGTAGTATTCTATTGTATATATGTACCACATCTTCTTTATCCAATCATCTATTGAGGGACACTTTGGTTGTCTCCATGTCTTGGCCACAATGAATAATTATGGAATAAACATAGGGGTGTATATATCTTTACCAATAAATGTTTTTGAGTTTTTGGTTAGATACCGAGAAGAGGGATTGCTGGGTCATATGGTAACTCCGTTCTCAATTTTTTGAGGGACTGCTCTATTGTTTTCCATAGTGGCTGTACCAGTTTACACCCCTACCAACAGTGAATGAGGGGTTCTTTTTCTCTACAACCTCTCCAACACTTGATGATAATACTCATTCAAACAGGTGTGAGGCAGTATCTTATTGTAGTTTTGATTTGCATTTCCCTGATCAGGTCAAAATAGTGAAATTGGTCACTATTTCTTACGTCTGTTGGCTGTTTGTATATCTTCCTGGGAAAGGTGTCTGTTCAGGTCCTCTGCCCATTTTTTTTTAAAGACTTTTTTAAATATTTTATTTATTTATCTTTAGAGAGGAAGGGAAGGAGAGAAACATCAATGTATGGTTGCCTTTGGTGCGTCTCCTGCTGGGAACTGGCCTGCAGGGAACTGGTCTGCAACCCAGGCTTGTGCCCTGACTGGGAATCGAACCGCGATTGTCTGGTTCGCAGGTCTGTGCTCAATCCACTGAGCTACACCAGCCAGGGCTCCCATTTTTTTTTAATTGGATTGTTTGCTTGTTTAGTGTTGAGTTGTGTGAGTTCTTTATATATTTTGGATATCAACTCTTTGTCAGAGCTGTGGTTTGCAAATATCATCTCCCATTTGATTGGTTGCCTTTCTTGTTGTTGTCAGGGTTTTTTTGCTATACAGAAGCTTTTTAGTTTAATATAGCCTCATTCATTTACTTTCGCCTTTACTTCCCTTGCCTGTGGGGTCAAATTCATAAAATGTTCTCTATGACCCAGGTCCATAAGTTTAGTACCTATCTTTTCTTCTGTGTACTCTATTGTTTCAGATTTTATATTTAGGTCTTTGGATCCATTTTGAATTAATTTTGTACATAGGTAACACTGTAATCTAGCTTTATTTTTTTGCATATGGCTTTCCATTTTTCCCATCACTATTTGTTGAAGAGGCTTTCTTTTCTCTATTATATGTTTTTGGCTCCTTTTTAAAAAATTATTTGCCCATATACTTGTGGTTTTATTTCTGGGCTCTCAATTCTGTTCCATTGGTCTGTGTGTCTGTTTTTCTGCCAGTACCATGTTACTTTGATTGTTGTGGCCCTGTAGTATAATTTGAAGTCAGATAGTGTGATACTTCTGGCTTCCATTCTTTTGTTCTGTTTCTGTTTTTGGAATAATAATTCACTGTGGCCTCATAATATAGTGCTACCAAACACTAGACATTTTCAGATCTCCCTCCAGGTACAAATTGATGGTTGGAAAAAGGTTTGTGTGGGCATATTTTCTCCTGCTTTCTTATTGGTACTTTTACCAGTAGAAGGATGAAAATGACCATGTTAATTCCCTAAATCTTGTTCATCTTCAAAAGTAGAATTAGTTTAAATATAGGAGTAGTATGTAAATAACTATGCTTTAAGAGTTTATTACATTTAGTGACCAGTAATTAATTAAAGCTAGAATGATTTTATATATATAATTTTATTTGATGCAGATAACCCCATAAAGTAATTAAGGTATTAACTCCATTATTTTTCATACAGAAGGAGGCTCAGAGAGGTTAATGATTTGACCCATAGGACTAGCAAAATAAAGCAGGATTCAACATGAAGTTCTCTCTTTCTAAATTGAGAATGTTTTCTTGCCCAGCACCATATATCTTAAAAGTAAAGAACAAAATTGTTCCCATGGAAATACACCAAAGAAAATTTGTGATAGCCATAATTATATAATTCCAAGGATTTGTTTGACATATGTGAAATGCTGTTTTTAACATGTCCTAGTTTTTCTTTGTTTTCTTTTTTTTATTGATGTTTGAATATAGTTGTCTCCATTTTCCCATCACCACTTTCCCCCTCCCTACCTATGCCCACCTCCTACCTTCAATCCCACCCCCTCTTTGGCTCCTTCCATGGGTCCCAAAGAAGGACCCATGATTCATGTTCATTCATGTGTGTTTCCCACGTTATTTCCCTCTCCCATCCCCTCTGGTTACTGTCAGTTTGCTGTCAATTTCAATGTCTCTGGCTATATTTTGCTTGCCAGTTTGTTTTGTTAATTAGGTTCCATTTATAGAAGAGATCATATGGTATTTGTATTTCACTGCTCGGCTTACATCACTTAGCATAACACCTTCCAGTTCCATTCATATTATCTTGAAGGGTAGGAGCTCCTTCTTTCTTTCTGCTGCATAGTATTCCATTCTGTGAATGTACCATAGTTTATTGATCCAGTCATTTACTGATGGGCACCTAGACTACTTCTAGCACTTGGCTATTGTATATTGTGCTGCTATGAACATCGGGGTGCATAGGTTCTTCTGAGTTGGTATTTCATGATTCTTAGGATATAAACCCAACAGTGGAATTACTGTGTCAGAAGGCAATTCCATTTTTAGTTTTTTGAGGAAATTCCATACTGTTTTCCACAGAGGCTGTACCAGTTTGCATTCCCACTAACAGTGCAGTAGGGTTCCCTTTACTCCACAACACCACCAGCACTTACTGTTTGCTGATTTGTTTATGATGGCCATTCTGACCAGTGTGGGGTGGTATCTCATTGTGGTTTTAATTTGCATCTCTCTGATGGCTAGTGATGCTGATCATCCTTTTATATGTCTCTGGGCCCTCTGTATATCCGCCTTGGAGAAGTGTCTGTTCAAGTCCTTTGCCCACTTTTTAATTGGGTTGCTTGTCTTCTTAGAGTAGAGTCATGTAAGTTCTTTGTATATTTTGGAGATTAAACCCTTGTGTGAGGTATCATTGGCAAATATGTTTTCTCATACTCTTAGTTCTCTTTTCATTTTGCTAATGTTTTCTTAGCTGTGCAGAAGCTTTTTATTTTGATGAAGACCCATTTGTTCATTCTTCTCTTTATGTTCCTTCCTCTTGGGGACACATCAGTGAAAATATTGGTGCATGGAATATTTGAGATCTGCATGTCTTCTCTTCTAGGACTTTTATGGTATCATGACTCATATTTAAGATCTTAGTGGGAAAGTTTTTAGTTTTTGCCCATTGAGTACAATGTTGGCTGTAGGTCTCTCATATATGGATGGCCTTGATTAGGTTCAGGAATGCTTCCTCTATTCCCACTTTGCTGAGTATTTTTATCATAAATGGGTACTGTTCCTTATCAAATGCTTTTTCTGCATCTATTGATATGATTATGTGATTTATGTCCTTGCTTTTATTTATGTGATGTATTATGTTTATTGATTTGTGAATATTGTACCATACTTGCATCCCTGGGATTAATCCCATTTGATCGTGGTGTATGATCTTTTTAGTGTGTAGCTGGATGCTATTTGCCAATATTTTGTTAAGGATTTTAGTGTCTGTGTTCATAAGCAATATTGGCCTGAAGTTTGCTTTCTTTGTTGTGTTTTTATCTGGTATTGGGATTAGGATGATGCTGGCTTCATAAAAAGAGTTTGGGAGTCTTCCATCTTCTTGGATTTTTTGAAATAGTCTGTGAAGAATAGGGGTTAACTCTTCCTTAAATGCTTTGTAAAATTCTCCTGTGAAACCATCCAGTCCAGGGCTTTTGTGTGTTGGAAGTTTTTTGATTGCTACTTCAATTTCATCTACTGTTATTGGTCTACTCAGGCTTTCTGCTTCTTCTTTGAGTTTTGGAAGATTATATTTTTCCAAAAATTAATTCATTTCACTTAGGTTTTCAAATTTTTGGCATGTAGTTCTTTATAGTAATTTGTTACAATTCTTAGTATTTCTGTGGTATTAATTGTAATCTCTCCTCTTTTATTTCTGATTGTATTTATTTGGGTCCTCTCTCTTTTTTTCTTGATGGGTCTGCTTAAAGGTTTGTTGATTTCCTCTATCTTTTCAAAGAATCAGCTCCTGAATATATTGATCTTTAGAATGTGCTTTAGTCTCTATGTTGTTTAATTCTGCTGTGATCTTGGTTATTTCCTTCCTTCTACTTGCTCTGGGCTGTCTTTGTTGTTGTTCCTCCAGTTCTTGTAGGTGCCCATTTTTTTAATTGGGTTGTCTTCCTGGTGTTGAGTCATGTGAGTTCTTTATATACTTTGGAGGTTAAACCCTTTTCTGATATGTCACTGGCAAATATGTTCTCCCATATAGTCTGTTCCTTTTTCATTTTGATGGTGTTTTTTTCTAGCTGTGAAGAAGTTTTTTATTTTGGTGTAGTCCGTTGCCCTGGGAGATATATCTGCGAAAATATTAGCTACTTAGATATCTTAAATTTTACTGCCTATGTTTCCTTCAGGACATTTATGGTATCATAACGTATATTTAAGACTTTTATCCATTTTGAGCTTATTCTTGTGTATGATGTATGTTCGTGGTCTAGTTTCATTTTTTTTCATGTACTAGTCCAGTTCTCTCAACACTGTTTATTGAAGAGACTATTTTTAATCCATTGTATGCTTGTGCCCCCTTTGTCAAATAGTAATTGACAAAAATATGGAATACTTCTCAAATTTGCATGTCATCCTTGCCCAGGGGCCATGCTAAACTCTAGATCATTCCAATTTGAATATATGTGCTGCCAAAATGAGCACAAGAATATATTTTGATGTGCATACTGTTGGTAAGGAAGTTACAATACAATGGTAGATTATTACAAGTATTAATTGTCCCTAGATTTAAAACAAAATACTGCCTCTTAATATATCCTGTATTTCTGTAAGTTGCTACCGTTTGAAGTACTCTAAAAGGTGCTGCCCAGTTTTAATATGTAGCAATTTAATGAGTACAGCTATTTCTGAGTATATAATTATTAAATTAAAAATCCCCCCTTTTTTTCCTTTAGATAGGTACCCTGTTTTTGTTAGAGATACCTGACCTAAAAGGTTAGGTAGCATGCCCTCAGGCATCACCTTCTCTGTGAATCCTTTTCAGCCCTCTTAGTAGTGCCCCTTTAAATACTCTCTGTCTACTTGCTTAACAGCCTTATCTTTTTTTAACAGGTAGGTTTATGAATGTTTGTCTTTCTTTTCTGTTAGACAGTGATTTCCTTGACAGGATTTTTCCATTTAACTTTCATCCATCACTGTCAGGTAGTGCTTTAATGATGGATGTGTATTACCCTTACATTTCAAATAGGGTCAAACCTATGTACTTAGTTAACATCTGTGTTCATAGCTGGTGTGACCAGGGCATCAGTGGAAACAAGGCAATTGTAATAATAATAATTGCTGCTAGTTTTTACTGTGTACTTTAAATGTGCTACACAAGTTTCATAAATTATCTTATTAAATTTTCACAACAAAATTAATGAAGTAAGTACAATTTACCTTAATCCCACCTTGTCACAAATTAATGCTGCCACTGTACTGTTTTTGTTTAATTTTCTGAGTATCTTTCTACTCATCTATTTATTTCCAACCTTTTTAAAAATTTTGTGGTATAGCCCTGGCTGGTGTGGCTCAATGGATTAAGCACTGGCCTGTGAACCAGAGGGTTGCTGGTTCTATTCCCAGTCTAGGGCACTTGCCTGGATTGCAGACCAGGTCCTGAGTAGGGGGCACGTGAGAGGCAACCACACATCAATATTTCCCTTTCTTTCACCCTTCTATTTATTAAACATACATAAATAAAATCTATTTTAAAGTTGAAGTATAATTGACATACATAAAATACACAAGTCTTAACTGTACAGATTGGTGACTTTTTAAACACACATGTATCTGAGTATCTACCACCCAGATCAAGAGATAAAATGTTCCATCATTCTCCATTCCAGTCAGTAGGCACCCATCTCAACACTATTCTGATTTCCGTCAGCATAGATTTTTTTTGCTTGTTTTTGAACTAAATGTTAAGTGGACCCATACACTTTGTATGTAGCCTTTTGTGTCTGTCTGCTTTTGCTCCAATTTAATAATTTTTGAGATTCATCTAAACTGTGTATCTCTCAGTAATATAGTTTCCTTTATTGCTGAGTTTGTGTAAGTATATTTTGTTTATCATTCTCATGGTACTGACCATTATTAGGTTGTTTGAATTGTAGGTTTCTATGAATATAGTTGGTATAAACATTGCTGTACAAGTCTTTTGGTGGACATTTGTATGATACTTTTCTCTTGGATGCAGTAGTACCCCATTTATCTGCAGTTTTGCTTTCCACAGTTTCAGTCCCATGATCAAATGTGGTCTGAAAGTATTAATTGGAGAATTCCAGATTAATTCATGTTGTCAGTTGCATACTGTTCTGAGTAGTATTATGGAACCTCTTTTTGTCCCATTCCACCCTGCCCTGGGAAGTAAATGACCCCTTCGTCCAGTGTATCCACACTGTATGTGCAATACAATAAGGTATTTTGAGAGGAGAAAGACTAAATCACAATGGAACTTTTATTACAGAATATTGTTTTAATTTTTCTATTTTATTATTAGCTATTCTTCATCTTTTACTGTGCCCAATTTGTAAGTTAAACTTTATCATAGGCATTAGGTATAGGAAAAAATACATAGTATGTATAAGGTTTTGCTTCTGCAGTTTCAGGCATCCACTGGGGGTCATGGAATATATCCTTGCAGATAAGGGAGGTACTGTATATAACTAGAAGAGGGATTGCTGGTCATGGAATAAGCTGATTAGAAACTTTGAGTTGTTTTCCAGAGTAGGTGTCTTATTTGGTATTCAGCCAGCAATGTATAATTCTTCCAGGTTCACTGACACTTAATGTTATCATTATTTGTATCATTGCTTTCATTTACTTTCCCTGATAAATAATGATGTTAGGTGTGGGGCGACTTTCCTCATTAGTCCCCATGTATGCCACGGATGAGAGTAAATATAACTGAGACATGATGTGATCTGCTTAGGGAGGAGAAGTGGCCATTTTCTCAGAGGAAACGGCCATGAGCAGTGGCCAGTTTCTCAGGGGAAAAAGGCCAGCAGCGGCCAGTTTCTCTGAGAAAAGGGCCTTGAGCCCCCTCCTCCAGGGCCTTTTATTGGGTTGTAATACACAGGAATATAGGGCAGCAAGGATCAAACAGTAGATAACATTTCAAAGAAATATGAGGGCTTAGTATGAGTCAGTCTGTCAGGAACAGAGTTTTAGGGTTTCCTGCTTGAACCCTTAACATATGAATGAAAGCACTCTTAGCAGAGCAGATTTCACAGGTTTATCAGGAAGTCTTTGTGGTGCCAGATTTTCCCCCAGGACACACTCTAGCAAGGCAAGGAGTTGCACCACTCCCCAACAGGTATTCAGGTTTAAGGGGATTAGAACCAGGAAGCGCTTCTCCCAGAAGACATGAGGACTCAGGCTATGTCAAAGCTGGGAGGTGAGAGTCCATTGCTCTTTGTTGCAGCCTCCCCCCCCCCCCACTGCCCACCACCTGGAGTCCTTCCATGAAGGCCTCCCAAGTGATTGAGTCTGGCTTAGGTTGCCCCTGCTATGAGGGGTCTTACCTGTCATTGACTTCCAACCAAGCTTTGGGGGCAGAGAGAGGAGCTGAGGCAGCGTTTGCTACCAGAGACAGGCTTTGTCTTCTGCGGCTGGCATTCCAAAGGTCGTCTCTCGCCCCTAGCCACAAGGGGTTGAGATACAATTCCTAGAACCAGGCAGAGCGGTTTATAACAGTTAGGCATCTTATACATTCAGATAATCATATTTAGATATCTTCTCATTTTAAAGTGCCTGCTTAGTTTGCTTATTCATTTTTTAATTGGGTTATTTACTTTTCGATGAGTGATTTTTAGAAATATGTAAATAAATCCTTTGTCAGATTTTGTTTTCTCCCAGTCTGTGGCTTGCTGTTTTGTTTTTAATGGTGTCGTTTGAGTAGAAATCTTTAATTTTGATGAGATCCAATTTGTCAGTTTTTAAATGTTTAATGCCTTTTATATACTGTTAGATTCTTTACCTGCTCCAGTGTGTTGAGTAATTTTTTCCACAGGCTTTGTAGTTTTATCTGTTCTACTGAGGCCTATGATTTATCTTTTATTAAGTATTACATTTTGTTCATTATCATTGTATTAATTATACATATATTATTATGGGCTTACAGTATGTCTTGAAAAGACAGTTCAACCAACTTCTGATTTTTTTTCTTGCTACATAGCATGGGCTAGGACCTCTATATTCATCTTAAATATAAGTGGGGAGAGGGGACGTTTGTCAAGTAATTTTTTTTATCTATTAAAATAATTCCACTTCTCCAGAATATATTCTTTTTATTTATTTATAGATTCAATTTGGGAGTAATCAGGATTTTTATGTCTGTCTTTATGAGATCTATTGATCTGTGATTTTCTTTGCTTCACAATAACTTTGTCAGTTTTTGAAGTCAGGGTTTTGTTTACCTCATCAAACAAAATAGGAAATGTATGTTCTCAGCTTCCAATGTATGACAAAGTTTGTGTGTGATAATTTCTTCCTTAATGCTTGTTAGAATTCACTAGTAAAATCATCTAGGCCTAAAGTTTCCATCATATGAAAGCATTTGAAGTAATGGGCTCCATTATTTCAAATGGTACAGCATACTTGTACCATTTTTACGAAGTTGTGTTTTCTAGGAGTTTATCAATTCCCTGTATGTTGTCACATTACATAAAACTATAATAACCTTTTCAAAAGCCTACTTTTGTAAATAGTAATTTTCTTTAATATATTTTTAAAGATATTTCATTGTTTTCTGCTCTTATCCTTAATCATTACTATTACTTCCTTTGAGTTCAATTTTCTCTTTCTAGATACCTGGAGTAAGAAATGAAAACATTAATTTGAAGCCTTTCTTCTTATAAGCCTTTCTTCTTTCTGATAGATGGCATTTTTAGCATAAGATCCACTGCTTCATCCCTACTACACATATTTTGATATGTTGTATTTTCATTGTCCTTCTAGGTGCTTATTAATATTTCCTTTTTAGATACCTCTTTTCTTTTAAAAATTAACATTTGTATTTCATGTTCTCAAAGAATTTCTAATCACCTATTTAGGTTTAATCTTTTATGTATGAGAGAAAGGGAGAAATTCATTCCCAACCACTGTTCTCCTCAATTTTTCATCTTCCTTAATCTGATGTGTTTACTTTTAGGTTAGAGTCCTTTCTCAAGTACATGGGTGACATATTCTTTGAATCTTTGCATATTCAAAAATATGTTTCTAGGACTCTGTTAGTGAATGGTATCTTGGCTAAATATAGGACTGTTGGGTTGTATTTTTTTTCCTGCAAATATTATTCCAGTGATTTTATGTTCCAGTGTTACATCTGAGAAAGCTGATGTCAGTACTGATTCTTTTGCCTTTGTAGATAAATTATGTTTTTGATCTAGAAACATAGATCTCTATTATTTTACAAAATGGGTACTTTAATAGACTTTGCCTAGCTGTGCACAGTGTCTCATCAGTCTAGCCTGGAACTCAGCAAGCCTATTCAAATTAACTGGAAATCACTCTTTCCAGTTACATTTTCTTCTATTGTTTGCTTAATTATTACCTCTTTTCTGACTGCTTATACTTCTGTTTTTGAACTAACTTACTTCCTTCCTTCCTTCCTTCCTTCCTTCCTTCCTCCTTCCCCTCTCCCTCCTTCCCTTTCTTTTTGC